ATCGTGGAGTGGAGCCTATAATATGTAAATGGATCCAAAACATGCTGAGTTGCAGAACGGTTACTGTCGCACTCAATGAAGTCAGCATGGAAGCAAGAGTAGCCGGCGGGTGTCCGCAGAGAGGAGTTTTGTCGCCTTTGCTGTGAAGCCTGGTGGTGGACCGGCTCCTGTCGTCTCTTGAGGGGAAAGGCTTCTACGCACTGAGATATGCGGATGATATATCCATTGTTGTACAGGGAAAGTTTGGAGACACTGTATCTTCATTGATTGATGCAGCAGGCGCTAAACATCACCGAACAATGGTGTATCACGGAAGGGCTGAAAATTAGCCCATCCAAGACATCTATTATCGCTTTCACAAGGAAGAGATATCTTAGAGCCCTAAGACAAATGTCTATATATGGGAACAAAATAGACATGTCTGACACTGTTAAATATCTTGGGGTAACCCTGGATAAGAAGCTGTTGTTTAAAGAACATGTGGAACAGAAAACAAACAAGGCGTTCAGAGCTTTATGGATCTGCAACCCATGGGATCAAAAGCTGATCGAATCAAAACTCTAAGCATCTCGGTACCTTTTAGAACATATGTTCTAAACGAGGGCCGAGATGGTGGAGACTCCATCAGCCATCACAGGAGACTCCGTATGGTACACGGAAGGCATAAAAACAGGGTCGGGCACAGGCGCTGGTATAGTCGAAAGAGGAAGAACTGGGGAAATGATTACCTTAAATCTGGGTACAACTACGACAGCTTTCCAAGCAAGCATCCTAGCAATACAAATTGCGCCCGGAAAATGAACGAAAGAGCCTACACACGTAAGCACATTACCATCGTAACCGGGGATGAAGCCACAATAAAGGCATTAGAATCGTACACAATCAGGTCAGAACGTGTGCTAGATTGTGTAAAAGAACTTACAACCTGGCTGGGAGCTCAAACAGAGTAAAACTCACTTGGGCAACTGGTACGAACAGGAGCAAAGAAAAAGAGATTGCGCGGAACTTGCTAAGGCATGGACCGAGAAACCACTGCCCAACCAAGAACTTGCTTGTGGTATATCTCATGCCCAAGTTAGGGCGGCAGTTTTCCAATGGATCTTGGAAGAACATAGAAAGTACTGGGAGGAGACACCCCTACTCCATACATCAACGCAGTTGGTGGGACCTCCACAACCAGTACGTAAAAATGAACTGCTAGGTCTCAGCAGGCAAAAAATAAGGAGGATAGTGGCCTTTTTAACAGGAC